ATCTCAAGGATTAGGGAATTTAGATGGAAGGTTTTCCAAGCTAGCATCTAAGAAAATGGTATGAACTTTGGAACTAGAAAATTTAGACTTATATGACAGATCTACTGACACTTTTTAAAAATACATACCTACCTACATACATAAGGAATAAAAAAGTCCAAAGAAAGTAATTACTAAAGTGTAGTTGATAGGGATTAAGTAAGCAGTAGATATATAGATTGTATATCCATAACCCTGTATCTAAAATTCTGAGATGAGGCATATTTAGAAAAATACTAATATAACTTCATATTGGATATAAATATAATATGGATATAAATGCTACATATTATTTACTACCCCCAGTATGGTCTGGGGTAGCTGTCAGTAATCAAAAATATTAATGTTTCTATAGCAAAATGCATGACAATACCTGCCAAGTGGGATAAATAAAGACCATAATTAGCCTCTTATGAGTTCAGGTGAGATCAGTAATGATTTATAAAGGATTATAAACCTGCATTTAGGATGTAATACTAGGAACAAGAATTTTCATGGAAAATGTAAAAGAATATAATTGTAATATCGATCTTGTCATCCTTTCTATCACCATCCTCACAAACACTTCTACAGTGAATTTGAGAGTAGCTAGTGCCAGACTGGCCACCATCTCACCTGTAAAAGTTATTATCCACTACTAAACAGTCCTAGCTTTTAACACTTTTGAGAACGTGTCTAATTTACATTGAACTGCATCTGTTGCATTAGCCTGACTTTAAAACAAATTATATGGAGTATAATAAAATTACTAAAAGTGTTCAGGATTATCCAGGTTCAATATTATGCTGACTAGCTCTGTTCAACCCCTTTAGGAAACCTATTGAGAGAAAAAGAGAGAAACCTAAAATCCCATAGTTGAGAAACTCTCGTTCTTTCAGATTTTCCCATTATCATTTATGGTTTAGAATGCACATAATGGACTCCTTCTTCTGTCATGATTAAGTAGCTTCTACTGTATCCGACTGTTCCACAGGTAAACATTATAAATACTGAACCAAAAAAATGTAATGACCTGGAGGTAACTTGAAGGGGCTCCTACCAGCCAAAGTTGGAACTATTTGAGCTTCAATAATGCTAATAAAGGCAATGCATTAAAGCCAATCAAATGTGTTTACACCCATGAGTTGATGACTTTCTAACAATTAGTAAATAAAGAGATAGTATCAAACTTTTATTCCGTCTTTCCTAAAAGAACTGTGACCATTGCATAACCAAATAATAGATACAAGAATGTATCTTTTCATTCATGTATTTAATCTAATAAATGTGAAAGAAATAATAGAATTAAAACGTCACCATTTTAGCAACCCCCAGTGAACTAACCAGCATTAAGCATCCATGGTGGTGAATATCACAAATGAAGTCAGAGGAACACAGTCTATTTTCATAACTAGAGCTATCTTTTTAGTGTAAGTCAGATTATGTCTTCTCTCTGATCAATATCCACAATAACTCCTCATTTCACCAAAAGTGAAATTCAGCATCCTTACAAATACCTACAAGGACCTGTAACATCTGTCCTTGAATCGGCTCCTTGTTTCATTTCCATCTGTTGCACTTCTGCTACAGTGACTCCTTCCTGTTCATTTGACACTCAAAGTGTGCTCCTGCTTCAAAGTCTTTGCACTGGCTTTACCTCCTGCCTGCAGTCCTCTTTTCCCCAATAGTCATACAGCTCACTTCCTCACCCGTTTCACGTCTTTGCACAAAAGTCATCTTCTCAATGAAAGTATGCAACCATCCCATTTGAAATTGCATCCATCTCTTTTTTCCCTCATGCCACAAGCACATGACTTCTGACCCTTCTCTGTATTGTATTAAGGTTCTAATCATTACTACTAATACACTGTGATTGGGTTGAATTGTCCCCCTGCCTAAAAACATACTGAAATAGTAGTCTCCAATACCTCAGAATGTGATCTTATTTGAAAATAAAGACATGGTAGATGTAAGTATTTCAACTAAGATGATGTTCTACTAAAGTGTAGATGGGTTGGGGGGCAATCCAATATGACTGGTGCCTTCATAAGAAGAGACAGACTGGAACACAGAGACACAGGGAGAACATCATATGACAAGGCAGAGGTTGGAGTTATGCAGCTGCAAGGAACACCAAAGATTGCCAGCTAGCCACAGAAGCCAGAAAGGGGCAAGGAAGGGCTCTCCTTCAGGTTTCGGATGGAGCATGGTCCCGCAGACACACTGATTTCAGGCTTCTAGTCTCTAAAACTGTGAGACAATAAACATCTGTTGTTTTAACTCACCCATGTTGCTGTGCTTTGTTTTGGTAGCCTTTGCAAACAATACATGTATCTATACAGTGTATCATTACTATATATCTCATTTTACTGTTCTTATTGCTATTGCTTGTTCACCTCCTGCCACTGACTCCCCGCCTTCCAGAAGGCCAACATCAAATGAGTAGGGATCTTTTTGGTCTGTTATGTAAAAGAATCCCTAGTACACACTAGATATTCAATAGATATCTGTTGGTTAAAATAATCCTCATATATATTTCTTCATCATTTAATTGAATTGCTTTTTGTGCTTTTGCCAGCTTTTTATTTTTTTAATCTAGTGTTTTATTATTCACAGTAATGGGCAACATAGCTGGCAGGAATATATATATATACACACACACACACACACACACACGTATATATATTATTGGAGACAGGGTCTTGTTTTGCTCCCCAAGTTGGAGTACGGTGGCATGATGATGGCTCACTGCAGCCTCCAACTCCTGGGCTCAAGCGATCTTTCCAACTAAGCCTCCTGAGCAGCTAGGACTACAGGCATGAGCCACCACACCCAGTTAACTTTTAAAATGTTTGTAGAGACAAGATTCCCAATGTTGCCCAGGCTAGTCTTGAACTCCTGGGCTCAAGCAATTCTCCCACGTTGGCCTCCTAAAATGCTGGGATTATAGGTGAGAGCCACCATGTCTGGTCAGGAATAATTTAAATAACCACTAATGCCCAATTTAATATCTCTTTCTGAATTAAATATTACTAAATAATTGCAAAAAAGTAAAGAGGGTGACTGTTTATAATTTCATCTCATTTCCCCTAGCCATGCTTTTGTGAAGATGCTATTGAACAAGTAATCAAGTCAGACACCAGGAGAGAATAGGAAAAAGATAATCAGCCTTTGAGCAATGGAGACTTGAATGAACATAAATTGTTTAACTCACTAAGCAAGTGTCTATAAAATAAATCATTATTCATAATAATCTTCTAAAACCATTAATCCAAATCTTAATGACTTCTGTCCACCAACCCATCCACAGTTCTCAACTTTCAATTATTAAGAACATTCAGTTATTTCTGTTTAGGAAAGAAAAATTTCTTGCTTCAAGTTCAATAGTTTAAGAGCCCCAAATTAGTTTATCCAGCTTAACTAAACTCATCTATCAACAGCCATAAAACCTGTGAAGTTTGACAGTTATTGTGTACTTGCTAATGTAAGTTTTTCTAACAGGATAAAACACCTCCCTATGCATTTATATTAGCCCTTATCAGTGAGATTTTTCTCCCTTCAGCCACTAACATCAAATCTTGAAATTAATTGTGCTAGTGAAAGTGCAAATACCAATTGCTTTTAAATGAGATTAGTCTCCAGATTACTCCCCTTCCCCTTCTTCTTTTCTCCATGGTGAGACTGAGAGAAGAAAAAAGTTTTAATCATAAAATCTTCCCTTCCAAAAGCAAACTTTGATTAACATAGCTCTACCATGTCACAGTGCAGAGAAAAGGGATGATATTAGTGAGGAACATTCTTACTAGGCAGAAAAAAGGAGAATCCCTTAGAATAAAAAGTAAAGAGGAAAACAGAGAAAAGCAAAGGTGAACCAAGTTTTTTCATCTTTTCCATCTGCTATAATATAAAAACCTGGGAAAGGCACTCACATAGCACCAGAAAGATTCGAGGGAAGCTAAAAGCAGAGGGGGCTTGTGACCAGATCTATATCTGAAAGTCTGAAGAAGGACTGAGAAGCAGAGTGCTATTGTACCAATGTGGAGTGGACACAAGAGAGCTGATAGGGCAGCTTATCACATCTGAGTAGAGAGAAGGCCTGAGTAAGCCCAAGTTGCCTCCGTTCTTTGTTATCTGTGTGAGGAGCAGTGTTTCATAAGTTCCTGCAGAGTTCCAGTGATGAATGTAAAGTTCTCCAATAGTTTCCACGTTTGGCAAGGGGCAATGTCATTGACTGCATAGCAAGACTCCACAGAGTAGACAGCCTAACCTTTGAACAAAACAGAGGATGTGGCTGACACTCAAGTAATGACAGTTTAAGTCAATGAGAGTATCAATCCTACCATGTCAGCCGGGGTTGGGGATTCTGGAGCTGGACTCTCAGGCCTTAACCTTGTTGAGAACAGAGCATACATGGTACATCAGAGCCTGATGTAACACAGAGACAAGGCAAGATTATTGTGCCTCAACTGGAGTTCAACAGGAACCAGTAGAGGATATTTTGTGGACCAGCACTATTTCCCGCATGGCAAGAAATCACATCAATTTCCCGTATGTACATATCATCCAGGGAAGAAGGAGGGCATAAAGAAGGCCCCATAGACATTTTGGATTTTTAATTAATTAAATACTTACCAGCATGGCTTATTACTTACAAACTTAGAGCTTTTGTATTTGTTTTCTTTCATTGTTTTCCCTTATTATGAACAGGAATCAATACGGAAAAGGTTTAAATCAGTTATAGGAACTGAAGACATCAATGTTATTATGCACATCTGAATCATATATGCAAATATGCTATTGTTTTTCAGAGACTTGGTTCTTTAAAAGACTAGGCTAACACAAAGTTTCAACGATTGAAAAGACTGACCTCAATTTAATAAGACAGCATATGAAACTACAGTATTGAAATAGTATAAAGTATGTTAATCATTCTATATGTTGGCCAAAAAATTAATTATCTGTGCACATTTAAAATATTCTTTAAAATTATTTAATAATTGGAAATACAGATACCATTTAGACTTCACATTTTAGAATAGAAAAGATGTATATGAAAACAACTTTATTGGTAGTGTTTAATGTTGTATAATGCGTCTGGAAAGGATTTAAAATTCTTTATGTGGTAAATTACTCGTGTATTACTAGGACAGTGGAGTTAAATTGACAATTTGACCAATTCTCAATAGGCAATAGCATTTTCCTACAGGACTTTCAAAACCGTACTTAATGTTGAAGATTATAATCATAATTTGGGCATAGAGTTGTCATTTAGTTATGATTTTCTAGGCATATTAAATTTTTTCTGTACTTCACAAACTGAACATTAAGAAGCCTGTGGAGTAGAAATGAATATAGATAGCTGGTAGATATTCTTCAAGTTTGAAATTAAAAGTTCCTCAAGAAAAATTTTTTCTTATTATATTTTTGGACAAAAGTACTGAGTTGGTTACACATAACTTTTAGTTTCAACAAAAAATACAATTCATTTGTTTATAAGACAACATGGAAGCGGAAGGTAATACAACTTTCTAAAATGAAATTACAGATTGGATTGACACTGACTACACAACTAAATAAATTAATCCTACTATAACACATAAAATTATCTTCCATATATTATGAACTGACATTCAAATCCAGAAATCTTTCACATAAATTAAATTTTATGTTAACAAAATTTCTATTTATCATACATAAATAGTTATCATAAATATATTTTATATGACCCCACATTTGATCTTTCCTTGGTAAACAGTGAGAATTATTACATATGAAGACAGTGTATAAGGGACATTAAATCAGCTTTAATCCCATTATTAAGAAATCCATACAGAATTGGATTAAGACAACAGGACATCATGCCCAACAAATGACAAATGCAATACACCAACTTGAAATGCCTATTTGAAATAAGATTGTCATTAAAATCAGTTACCACATGGAAAAGGTGTAGTGGCATCCAACTAACAGCAAATACTAATATCAGTATGGTCAGCCTGTAGAAAACACTTCGAGATCTCTTTTTTATTCTTGTAACAGAACGTTTTACTCTCAGTTCATGAACATCTGAATTTTCTTCAGGTTTTATTTCAAAGCAAGTGGGGACCCCTGGTATGAACTTACTGGATGAAGAGAGCTGACTTCTTACAGAGCCAAAGTTTTCTGGAAGTATTCTGGAGTGGTTCTCTTGAGAAGGTCTTTCTGGAGCGGGTAACACACATGCTGTCTTCTTGCTATATCTCCTTCTGTGTTTTTTGATGAATGAATAACTCCATTTATGGCTGCCAGAGAGTTTCACCTGAGGCCCAATCTTTCTGGATGGATGAAGAGTTAAGTTGATCATCTCATTTTCTTCAAGTCTGTTTTCTTTGTTGGACAATCCACAGCTTATGCTTCTGCAGACACTTGTATGACTTACAGTAAGACAAACTAAGGGCAGAATATACTGAACTAGCAATAAAGAGATAGTAAAGGCAATTCTGTATGAATCAGATGGCCATGACTCAACACATAAATACCTGCTGCTCAGCAACGCTGAACCAAATGTTTCTTGAAGTTCCACAAGACTGTGAAACACTGGAAGGGGAGAACAGATGGCAAAACCTAGTGTCCAGACAGTAGCTATCAGAAAGTAGCCATGGTTTGCTGTTAAATTATTAGAGATGGGATGTTTTATCATATGATACCTGACAATGGCAATTGATATTAAAATTAAAGTTGAAACCAAAACTGACACACATTGCAGAAAAGGCATAATATGGCACATGACTTTGCCAAACATCCACTGATCCAGCAAGACAGATGTCAGTGTGAAAGGTGAGCAAAACAGCACAACCAAGATATCAGAAAAGGCCAGATTTCCTATGAGGAAGTTTACCGTAGTCTTCTGATTACGCTTTTTCATGAGAGCCATTAAAATAAGTAAATTCCCCATAAAGCCAAGAAGACTTACAAATGTATAGAGCCCAATCAGAAAATACTGTAAGTCATCTACACTGCTTTTATAGTCATCCCAGACTGGGAAATCAGAATTCCGAGTGGCAGCAGTATTATTCTCTGTGGCAAGTGTCTTGTTATAATATTCATCGAGCTCTAAATCCATATTATAGTCCTGCTTGGAATAAAAAGACATTTGTCATCAACCTAAAAAAAAATTACATGACTACTTTAAATTAATCTATTCAGACGGAAACTAAATTTTACAATCGGCTCCCATGACCTTATTAATCTCCTAAGAAAGTTTATGAAATCTTTAACTCATTCCAAGTGCAGTGCAAATATCAGCCAATAATGATTATAGTAAGTTTAATTTTATCATTACTTCCAAGATGTATTAACTTATGTTAAGATAATAGATTGTATTTTTAAAATTTGTGTTGTAAATAACGTAAGGAAAGAAAAAGCAAATGTAGACAAGAACTTCAAGATATATGCTTTACAATCACTGATTAATATTATTCTCCAAGTCAATATACCTGGTACATAGTAATAGTCACATAATCTTACCATAAAAATTCTATTCATTTCTATCTCAATCTAGGCCAAACTTAAAAGTCACCTGTCCTGGTCAACTCAGCTGGACATGATCTCCTCTTCAGAACTCCTGTTAACATTCTGTTTACAGTTGTCTGATGCTACATATCATAATCTGCTCTCATTGCATTATAATGCCTAGCCGTCTACCTTGTTTATTTACAAGCAATGGGAAAGCAGAAACTATCTCTTACTCACTTTGGAATCCATCCCAATACATGGCAGAGTAATTTTACCACTGCAGGTATTAAGTAAATGTTTATGAGAGAATAAAATATTCAAACAAAACTCTAGTAACAAATATCACCTAGCTCATACAACGTTCAAATTTAAGCGCCTTGAGAATAGGATTACTATCTCATGACCTAGGTGCATATAGTAGGCACTCATTAAATCTGTTTGTCAAGCTGTACTGTTGACTGTGTAGATACAATGCTGAATGATGACATCTTTCTGTGACCAATCCTCAATCGTTTGGGATATGCCAGATCATCTCTGATTAGGACAACCACTGATGGACTAGCAGTGCTGTTGGTGTTTTTTTTTTTTTAAACAAACAAACAAACAAACAAATTTCACTTGCTTATTAATTTAAAAACTGTGTATAGATTTTGCCTTATGAATGAGTCAATGAATTCATTGTTCAAGGAAAACATTATACCTTAAACGTAAATGTAGAAGTGATATTAATATAACTTCCAGTAATAAGTTTTTTCATTTCAAATTAAATTAATGTCATACCTCAATGGCATTACATGTTTACCTCTACATATTAGACTTTTGATGCTACTGTCTGATGAAGCACTAAATTGCCCATAACATACCAGTAAGAGGCAAAAGGACCCCTTCCTCTCATTTAAAAAAAAACAAAAACACTTTTTTTTTTTTCTTAGAAATAGGGTCTCATTCTGTTGCCCAGGCTGGAGTGCAGTAGTGTGATCACAGCTCATTGTAACCTTGAACACCTGGACTCAAGCAATCCTCTCATCTCAGCCTCCCAAGCAGCTAAGACTACAGGTACATGCCACTACATATGGCTAATCTTTCTATTTTTTTGTGGAGATGGGGTCTGCCTGTGTTGCCCAGGCTGGTGTCAAACTCCTGGCCTCAAGTAATCCTCCCACCTTGGCCTCCCAAAGTGTTGGGATTATAGGCATGAGTCACTGTGTGCCTGGCCACTTTAAGTTTTTTTTTTTTAAACAAGAATTTCCTACAGAAAACACAAACCAGCAAGCAAATTAATTCCAATAAATACACTGTCATAGAGATTGTGATATACACATAGTTTAAAAAACACTTTTGTTACCTATTAATATATGTTGATCTACTTATTTCTAGATCTATAATTGAATAATTATACTAAAACTATAAAAATACATTTATTTAAATTAATAGTAAAAACTGTTATCTTTAATTTATGAGGGACCTATAGGTCTTAGTTCAATAAATTTCCAAATGGCAAATACTACTGTGTACATACATTCATTACAAGTAAGTTTAACTTCAGTTCTATATATAGCAAGTTTCAAACAGGATGACAGAGTCATCCTTGTGCTATGAGAAAAGTTATAAGTTTTTCACAACTTCTACAAGTGATTCTATGTTGACCAAATTATTTTCTGGAAGCTAACTACATCCTTTTAAAGGATAAGTTAATTCAAAGACTGAGGATTGTATTCATTCATTCTTAGACCCTAGCCAACAATTTACATTGATATTGCCTCAGTGAAAAAGAACACCTGGTACAAAAGTGACTCGCATGACCTACTGAATCATATTATTCATCATATTCCCAGTCAATAGCCTCTCAGCACCTACTCTGGATAGGTCAGCAAGCTTATAATCAAAACAGCTTTGACTGGTGCTTTTGCCTAATTTCCTGAGTTCTGATGACCCCCTGGCTCAATTCAGCTTATTCATGATCCTATTTATATTTATAATGTGGACAGGCTGCTTGTAACTGCAATCTTGCTTAGTTGTTCTTCCCTTGACTTACCTTTCTTGAATCAATCCTTTTCTTCTAACTTTGTGGTAGGTCAGTTGTTACTGATAGCCTTTCCTTGTACTTCCTAAGCAAGAACAAGAGAGAAATTAGACGGCCCCCTCTACAGTGGCTTTGTGCCTTTTTGGATCATGGAACTGTGGATGATACTTACTTACTTAGTGTAAAATTGCTGTCCAAAATTTTTTGAAGAAAGAGAAGATGCAGCACAATTTGTGGTAATAGAAACAACATAGTTTTGAGTCTAAAATTCAGATTTTTCTCCAATCCATGTGGTTAGATCTCTCTATTATATTCGAATGGAGATAAAAGTCTTAATTATTTTTCATTCTAGAAATAATGTTTAATAAAGCATATTACACATAGTGGATGCTAAAGTAAATATTCATTACCAATCATTTTAGAAAAGCAGTTTAACTTCCCTTGCTTTAAAATAACAGAAATGAATCATCCTGGCAATGTGGGAAAATTCAGGATAGAATATGACTATAAATTTGTGTGTACATACATATGTGTGTATATGTATCTTTATATATACATTTATAGAGAACCATTGAAATTATAGATGTTTTAAATGGCCCCAAAATGCAATGAGGAGGAGATACCTAGATAGACAACAAAGAGAGTTTAGCACTTTAAATTTTCATTTGGATATCTTCATCGATAAAGGCTATCACACAAGCAACATGAAACTAAAACTGCAAGATATATTGACAAAACATTTAAAAAATGTAAACGAAAAAAGAAGTATATCTGCTTCCATGACTGTGCAGTCTGCTATTAAAACTTTTATTTTAAATACATGCACATAAAATATTGAATGCATTAAATTATAAAACCACATCTCCTTAGTAAGAAGATGAAATAAATGCCATCTTGAGTATTCATTGAACACTGGAGAAAAAACTGAGGATGCTTCTTTCATTCCCTAAAATATTTGAGTATTTTAAGAAAGTACATAATTTGTATATAATTTTAAAGGGTAGACTCCTTCTATTAATGAATAGCTAAGAATGATTAGTTGTTCCTTCTTTTATTCATTCAAGAAGTATTTACTGAACATAAATTTTTATATTTTGCTAGGTGCTCTGCTCTGCTCTAAGCATAAAGATGAGTAATGCAAGGTGCTATGCCAAGAATATTCTATGATGGATTAATTCAAGCTCACACCCTGAGTAACTGTAGATTGCTGAGATGTAAAAGGCCTCAAATTGGATGATGAATGAATTAATAAATGAATGGCATTCTCCTGACTGACAGTAGTATATTATTTCACTATAGCACGGACACTTGTATTATTGCCGAATATAATGAATACTTTATGTAGCTACTGATAGACTGATTAGCAAATTTAAAAAATTCTCTTTTAGCATTCATTCATTCATTCCACATTCATTTATTCATTTTATTTTGGTGCGACTGTAGTCAACTTTCTCCTGCTCTCCCTCTAGCCCCACCCCACACCATCTACCACATAAACATACACACATACAAAACCTAATATATAGTCTGCACAAAATGAGCATGTTTGTGAATCTTTGTTCCAAAGAAGGAAGAATTTTTTCTTACAACTAAATGATGAATACTGCAAACGCTGGAGGCGCGGAGGAGGGGTGGGGGAGGGGTGGTGGTGGATATGTAGTTTTTTTAAAGTGCCTCCTGGTAGCCAGGGGATAATTTAAACATTAGGAAAATTTTGTCCAATCAGATTTAAGTCGAAAATCTAAGGTACAGGAACGCTCTTAAAATGAAAACACAAACAAACAAAAAAGCAAGATTTCTTTCCTTAAACTTACCTTTTCCCTTCCTTTTTCCTGAAAAACACAGTCAGCAGACCTACAATGGAAATGCAAATATGTTTAACAACCCTCTACTTCTCAACAAGTGTTATTATGAGTGCTGTACATTCTTATGCAATATATTTTATCCATTATAAAAGTAATGATATGTGTGAATCTTCTCAGATTGCTACAGAAATTATGAAATATAGCCAGAGAAAGAATATTTTAACATGGAATATTATTTGACAAGAAATCTGATATCGACAGCATGAAATTTTTGTCATACCTAATTACTATATTTACTCATTCCCTTTTATAATAGTTGTATCTCCCACCATCAGAATTTCCAGGCTGAAACACAGAACTTTAATCTCTGAGTAAAAAGTGTGAAAAATAAAAGTTCTTTATTAAACTATGGCAACTTTTAAAAAATAATCTTTTCAGAGGTTTACTGGAATTTTCTTATAAACTCTTCTATATCTGACACCTAGACAAATGAAACCCTCTGAATAGATTTTAAGTATTTTAAGAAAGTGTTCTTAAGAATAATAGGAGGAACTTCAGGGAATTCAAAGGATATTAAAAATCTGACTTGTACATTTAAATAAGGTTTATTTGTTTGAATAATTTCTTGCCTTATGAAAATATACATCACTCTCACAAAGGATGACAATCACACAAAAGAATAAAATATATGTAATTCTTTTCCTCCTGCAATGATACAATATCAACTATTGTCTATTTTGCTGTGCTCATGGAACAGCAGCATGATTCCATGTTCTCAAATATTCCCATGGTTTGTTCTTAAAGCCAGAATCTGGCACAATTTGAATTGGAAAGATAAATACAGCTCTGCTCAGCTGACAAACACACAGGCATGCACCACCCTCCCTTCCAAATTCTAACAGCAGAGTTTCTCTTCCCTTGAGAAATCTGAAATCTAAAATTGCATTCGAACTGCAAGATTCTTCTGAAAGAGCCTTAGGCTATTTTCCATGGTCTATGGTAAAACCGTTTTGGCTTTGGTTCAATACAACGCCTCAGTTCCTTTAAAAGATTAACTAAAGGTCTGTGAACTTGGAAAAAAGAATTCCCGTTTCTGGAATTCGAGTTCTATGGATGTTTGCTATTCTCGCATTTGTCATATGAAGACACCTTGCAAATTGGAGCGCAAACCTTGGAGCGCAGCTGCCTCCCGGGCTCAGGTCAGCGCTGGACTGCGCGGCAGCTGGACGGCTTGAGTGGCGCCTCGCGGGCTGCGCCCCTGGCCTCGCCAGAGACCCGCTAGAGCTGAGCCCTGACCCGGGCACCCCGCGGGCTGCCGTTCCCAGCTCCAGACCAGCCGGGCTGCAGCAAGAGTGCGTCTAGCCTGAGGCAGCGCTTTGTCCATCCCCCGCCCCTTCCCCAGGAGACTCCTTCGCAGATCCCCGACACTCTCCTCCCGGGTTCGGCCCGCGCCTGCTCCACCCGGGTGAGTTGGGAACTGGAGGGACCTGCTCGGTAGGAAAGAATTCAGCCCAGTACCCTCTGCGCTGTCTCTTCACTCCTGACAAGTGTCTGTTCCGACACCCTAATCCCCATTTTTCCAGCCGCACTCCCTTCACCTTCCCCACCCCGCCCTCTTAGGACCCCCGACAACGCCCTGGCACCAGAGACAGGGGTGCGGGCTCCCAGGACCAGCGCAGACTCGCAGCCCGCGCGGGGACCCGCCACGGTCCCTGGGTGCAGGCCTACCCGGCGCGAAAGGGGTTGGCAGGGAGGGGCGGGAGCCCGTACCTCGGGGCGCCCCGGCCGCTGCAGGCCCTGGGCTCCCGGGAGCGCGGCCCAGCGCGATCGCTCCTGTACCCCAGCGGCGGCGGCAACAGCAGGAGCAGGACCTGGAGGCGGCGGTGGGGAAGAGGGGGCGGGGGTTTAACGGCGTCTCGAGAACACGTGACTGTTCCGGGGACCCCCGGAGACCCTGCTCCAGGGCGCCTGCTCCGCGCCAGCCTCTTCCAAATCCGGGGGCCGGGGGCATCCCAGACCTACGCCGCTGTTTGGGCGCTCTAGGGAGAAGCCACAGGGCCCCGGGATGTCGCCCTTTCACCCTGGCCTCGGGTCCCAGGCCGACCAAGTTAACTTGATGGGCAAATCGAGTTTTGCCAGTCCAGCCCCCAGCCCTGTGTAGTGAACTCTGAGAAGTCTTGAACTGGTGTGAGGATGGCTGTGCCCCTAAGTGCTTAGTATGCCTGAGAACAAGCTTCGAGTCTCAGGTTTTACCATTGTCGGGGGTGGGGGGGACGGGGGAGGAAGAAAGAAAAAAAGAAAAACAGAACACTGCTCTTCCTTTGCACCTTTTTGAAGTAAGGAAGAGTGGCGGTGGGGAGGCTCACCCAATGTCCAGGAGAGGCAAGGGAGTCTGCGGGGATGCGCCCAGCAGAATACAAGGGAAGTTTCCCCACTCCAAGGAGTGGCAGCTGTGGGTGTGGGCAAGTGGCAAGAGCAGGGGAGTGAAGCTGAAATGAAATCAACGCTGCTCAAGACTATATTCAATAGCAAAGAGAAGACGAAGGGCTAAAAATGAATTGTCATAGGTTAAAAGAAAAAAAAAAAAAAAAAAAGACGGGAAAAAAAGCCCACACAAAAGAAGAAGAAAAAACCCTATCCTTCTGTTCCTTCTCAACATGATTTCCATCTCTAATGTTTCCAAATCTGTATTGCGCAGGTTTGCTTTATTTTTAGCTAATCATTAGTTGGCAGGTACTTCAGGTGCGCGCGCGCGCGTCTCTCTCTCTCTCTCTCTCTCTGTGTGTGTGTGTGTGTGTGTGTGTGTGAGAGAGAGAGAGAGAGAGAGAGAGAAAGAGAGAGAGAGAAAGGAGAAAAGAGAGATTGGGTAGAGGTCCGTGTGTCTTTGGACATAGCTTTACCATGAGAAAGGGTATAGTTATTGTACCCTTTAATACTGAGAACTATTATGTAACAGACAGCATCTCCTGCTGAGTAGAGAGTCCTATGGGACTAGCTCTTTATAAACCGAAGAGAACTGTACCCCTTGGGAGCACTGTGACTTGTAATTCTCACATCTGGGGCAGCCATCACTGTTATACCAGAGGTCAAAGAAAATGTTTTGTGCGCCCTTTCTGCTGAATTTTAGCATTCAATACTCAGGGGATCTATATAGATTGCCATTTCATCAGTCAAAGAGCCATCCAAGAGCTTTTAAAGAACTCAAGTAAACACAGTTCCTGTTTTATTCTTCTGTGTGTTATTTCTGAAATATTAATATATTCTCCCCCAAAGCTTAACAGAATAGGCCTTCTGAGCAGGCACCTGGGATTCTGCAGTAGGGAGCAGGGGATGAAAGTGTCAAGAAGGAATAACCTTGAGAAAATAAGGCTTGTTTTTTAGACTTTCTTAATTCCACCGTCTCTGCGGTTAATGCAGTACAAATTGCCACATAAATTTCTATCCTTCCATCTCTTGCACAGTCATAAGATGTACACTTCAAATACACATTGTCTTTAAAACAACTTCCAAGTGAACCCCATTGTGACTGTCTTTCAAAACACTAGTCTATGCTACAGGCTTTTGCATATTAAAAGTATAAAACAAATCTTATTTTTTCTTTTCCACAACTTTGTTTTCTATTTTGATGATATGAACCTTTAGGGTGAAGTTACTGTTATTAGAGTATTGAAAATAAAAGGCCACGTGCCATTGACACAGAGATTGTAATTAACCTGACCATTTTCCCTTCCCACTGCACCCACAAACAAGTCTCAAAAAGGGAGCTGGCATTTCTTCTTTAAATACATGTGACAATACACAGTAGTAAGGACATCTGGAGTGGACAAGTTATGAAGAGATTTTTGTTTTGAGGACATTATCAATGTACAAATTTAGGCAATATGCTACATAAAGAGAAAGATATGAAGATGAGGGTGCTTTTACCTTTAAATTTCCCAGGAGGGATTCGAGACTGATCATCGTTACTCTTTGTAGAACATAATAATTTTATTTTTATTTTATGGAGTAACTTTTAAGCGGAGGGGAATATCAGAACAGAAATAGTAATGTCCACCTCTATTTTATGTATTTTTCCTACTCACTATTTATAAAATGCTCGTTTGGGAAATTAAGTTGGATTTTGTGCATGTTACAAAATTAAACTGGCTATTGCCCTGTTATTACAGTTAATTATCAGTTACGAAAGAAAGGTAAAAGTTAAAGGTCACTTGGGACTCCTAAGACAAATTATTGAACAATAAAACAGTCGCCCAACAATTCCTGGGGTAACATTTTGCTGAGGAACATGACTGTGGTTTTTGTCAAAGCTACTGTTGTATTTTAATAACAGCTACCATTTGTGGAAAGCAATGACTAAAGTGCTTTGGTATAATCTCCAGTGATATTTGATTTTGATATATTAGTTATAGAAGAAGTATGGGTAAATAAACTAGAGAAAACAGTATTATTTTACTTCATGCATTTATTTCTCTGAGGATTTCGTTGTACTCCTTAAGAGTAAATGTTTCTTCATCCACTTTTTCTATCAGGGTAAATTTAAATCCTTAATGCTTAAAAGATGTGTTATCAAAATATTTTATGATGCTCTATGCTGCATTGATTTCTTTGAAATAGTAATGATTTGTCATACAAATCAATATTTAGAACTTAAAATACATGATTTTTTTTATTATTACTTTCAGGGAACAAAAACTATTGAAAAAAAGTTTGCCCAAAGTATTGTGTACATTGAGTCCATTTCCCAGAAAACTTAACGACAATTTTGAGGTCCTACAGGGGCATCATTAACATTTTATTGACTTCTGATAAATACTGTGCTCCTTAAGCAACACTTTATTTATCCTTTTGATGCTCTAATGATTTGACCTTAAAGCAGTGACTGATTTGCAGAAAGAATGTATAATTCTTTTTACTAGCAAATATCCATGTTAAAAATACATACACACATAGATGGGATACAAATGTATTTTATATGTTCATATGTCACATACATATTTTTATAATAGACACTTATCAGAATAACTGAGTTGTAGCCAGGCTTGATCTCAAATTAGTGGTGTGGCTAAAGACAGGCACTTGATTTTTCAGTCTTCATTTTCTTTGTCTGTAAATGAAATATTTTGAATCAAAGATCTGGAGTCCCCGTTGAGACCTGACTACTTACGACTGTATGCCATTAATGAGCATGCATTACAAACATATGTGTAGAAAAACCATCTTTTTAGATCTTCAGAAATATTTGATAGCCACAGACATTGTTTATTTTCCCTTTACATTAAAATTTACAAAGAAAATACTGATGTTAAAGTTTTCCATTATTATTGGCACATTCTCTTCCCTGCAGCTACTATTAACTATATTTTATTTATTCATTTCAAAAAGTTATGGCTGTCTTACATATCAGTACTTCATTCTTTAATTATATTGTTTTTCAGTTTTGCAGCACAAATATATATACAAGAAGAAGAGAGCATGGATTCCTTTGACAATATAACATTTTATTATGTAAATCCATATATAGGCCATACGATTATTTCTTTTTGTAGTTCAAAACTCCTCTGAGAAAAGATAAGTATCCTGTAATATTTTTTAAAATGTTTCCATTTCCTATCTATTTTTTGTAGTTAATATTTTAAATCTAGTTATAAGTCTAAATATAGCTTTACTATATTTAAGTGGAAATGAAAGGGAAAAAGTTTATTTATTTATTTTTGGTATGTTGGTTTGTTTTAGTCTTTAAAAAGAATGTTTACAGAACTGTTCAAAGCATAAGCCCAGGATCAAAAGTTGAATTATATGCTCTTCAAAACGTATGTTACCACATTTGTAGTCTTACCATTCTCACAGGTAATACAGCTATTAAAATATGTTATTGAACAGGTAGAAAAAATATGAGACCGCTCCTCAAGTAGACATTATAAGCAGTTTCAAAGGAAGTAGAGTCCATATTCAAGTTTATACCTAATAGATGATGCAGAGCTAACACATAAGAATATCCAAAAATATGAGGCAGATCATCAGAAGGAGTGTATTAGTAAGCGAACTATGCATAAAATGTATATGCATAAAGTAGCAATCATCCATCATAGCTGCAAATGCTGAAGACACTTTTTTAATGTTTGAGATGAACAAATGGGCTTGATTTGTGATATTCAAAATTTTTGTAGTCCTACCCTAGTCCTAGTTTTTCAATCTTTCAACAAAACCTCTTCAGTATCCTATGATGTGTTAGATACCCTTCCAGGCTCTTAAGTTTAAGAGATGAAAAAAAACAACAGCAACAGTCATTGTCAGTAAGAGTTCAGAGTATAGTTGTAGATATGTGCAACTACATAATTAATGGCAATACAATGTGATAAGTTCTGCAACTGAAATAAACTCTAGGTTGATTTCTTATTTATATTCCTAGGTAATTCGTTCTTAAAAATAAACTGGGGATGTAACAGAGGGTTTTATAGCTGAGAAGACACTGGAACTGAAATGTGAAGGGTTAGTAAGAGCTAAACAGGCAGATGGAGGGGATGGAGAAGCGAGAAATGTTGTAATAGCATGAAGGTGAGAGAGTGTGTGGTATTCAGAATCATGCAAATGGTTTCGTATGACTGCAGTGTATAGGGTGGAGGATGATACGGAAAATGTTGATTAAAAAGGATGTCTTTTGTCCTTCACTTGAGACATCTGGATGGAAAGCAGCTAAAAGATTTAAGATGGGAAGTTGATATGGCTGGAGGGCTGTGAAAAAAGCTGATAGATTTAGACCATTTAGCAGAGAAATAAGTAGAGCTTGATAGAGGTGAAAGAACACACATGAGAGATATTTAGGAGATAAAATCACCGGCAATCTGAGACCAGTTGGA